TGTCTCCAGTTTTCTGCTCGATACAACTATAGGTTTTTTTGAGATGTGTTGCAGAGAGCTCCTATACCAACTTCCCAGGCCCACAGCATTACAGATCCTCCACCTTAACATAGAACATCCCTTTCTTTTCATCTTTTGTTTCATAACAGATGTGCTCAGCCAAAGTTACATTTTAACCCTTTATAGGACAAGTTGCCATTTTCGATCACAGGACAAACCTGTCCCTCAGTGAGGTCTAGAAGGACAAGATCTACGTGTATCCAGAAGACCCTGCTACATGGCTGTACATCTTATTTTGGCATTTGACCAATTAGATGAGCCCTTGAGTGATATATTATCTACTGTAAATTAAGTTAAAAAGAAAGGTAACAAGTCAAGAAAAAAAAGGTAAATTCTTGCCATCAAAATATCCAAATTATTTAATGTTACAAAGGTAATAAAGTCTCATCATGGATTCCAATAACACTATTGGCTAGAAATTTGGATTTTCAAAGTATTGTTATAAAGCTATAATGTAGATAAATGTAGTATCAGTGCAGCATCATATTATAAAAAAGCAGCCATAATTGCATGCACCAGTAAACAAACCAGCATAACCAATGTCTCCTGGGTTTTCCTTAGATAGAATAAAAAGCCTGCAGGTGACAGATGTATTGCTGTGTTTTTTTGTTTTTTTCTTGTCTACCATCTGCTTGTTTCTTGTTCTATTGCTCCAGCAGAGTAAACAGCGTGAGCCAGTTATTGCATGACTCATTTGAAATGTCTTTATGCTTATAAAATATGATTGGAAATGAAAATTTGTGATTTAAATGCTAAACAACAGTTTTACATTAATGTCTGTCTGGTGTTGTTTAATAGTCTGCTGGATAGGTGTATGTAAACGTTAGGTTTAGACTCTATAATCTATAATAAACTAACTTTGCACTACAGCACCATGAAGAAAGACGGATATTTTTAATAAAAGGGGCTGCAATGATCAGGGTTATAAACGCAACATGCATTTTTAAGACCCTTTAAAGCATTAATTTAAGCTTTTTCTATTCTTTCTTGGAGAACTCCTAAACCATTGTGTAAAAAAAGAAAAGAGGACAGTATTTATTTGTTTTTGCGGTAGCAGTGTAGATATGCACAGGGGAAGGAGCACCTTCATTAATAACAAGAGGTCCGTGTAAGAGGCTGCCGGGCTGCACTCCTGTAAATCATGAGGGAACTCCCATGCTGCTCTGAGGCTGAGCGCAGACCCCGGGCTAAATCATTTCCATGAGATTCCTCCAGCTTCAGAGGCTGGGAAGTGAAGGAGGAAAGGAAATGCTTGGAGGTCTGGAGCTGTTCATGTCAATGTGTTAGTGAGCGTGATGCTAGTCTGTGGGGCCAATTAATAGCTCTTTGTCTTTTGGATCGTGTTATTTGAATGTGTGATCTTCCCCTGCTGACTGTGGATATTCTCTCAGGAGGAAAGCTGGAGCCTGCTGGTTTACGTGAGTTTGCAGCGACAGCGGAGGATGGGCCGGAGCGCGGCATGCTGCTGTTCCCTGAGATTTGCACGATGGAGCTGCAGCTTCTTGCCTCTGGCTCCCCGGACTTGGAGGTTCTCGGTCATGTGTTTCACAGCCTACTGGGCGCCGTTCACGCCAACCGCCACAATGCCGCCTTACTCTATGAGCAGGTCAGACTGAATGCCCGTTCCTCTCTCTGTTAATGTTAACTGCCTCGCAAATCTGGCCTAACTCTTCCCTCTGGTTCTTCACAGGGAGGAGTCAAAACCATCCTTTGCAGCTTTCACAACATCCTCAGTCAAACAGACCCCTCCTTTAAAGGTTTCTCATTTATTTTCTTCTTATCTGACAGAATATTTTTCAAGCTTAGCATGTCTTCTTTGAGTTTATTTTTTTTCCGACATGACGTTAAAACTTGGCCTTCAGGGTTCAAGCATAATATTTTCACTTGCGTAAATCTGTAACCTGTTACGTTCTTGGAGTTGAATTGATTTAACATTGTGACTTTTTCTAAATCTGTAGTTTATGTAGGATTTATTTTAGTGTCAATTTGCTCTTATTTATCCTTATTTGGAAAAGTGTTCATGCTCCATCAATGTTTCACATTTTGTCAGGTCATAACCACAGAGTTTAAGTTTACATTTTCTGGGATCTTTTGTATCTGATCATGTAAAAGTAGCACATAGAGGTGAAGTGGAAAGTAACAGATGTCTATTTTAAAATGTTTATCAGAAAGTGCCAGATCCAATTTTTTTAATTTTTTACTCTCATACCCATAAAATATTATAAAAAACTGTTGCCTTCAGGAGTCATTTGACTTGTAGATTATCTCCAGCTGTGTGTGATTTAACCTGAACATCAGCATGGTGGACATGGAAAGCACTTTATTGTCTTTTTAAGCAGGGTTTGTTTTCTTTTCTCTACCTGGACAATCAGCTGCTCTTCATCTACCTTCAAAATAACACCAAGCATTATTATCTAAGCAATATCTAAACATGTAACTTCTCTCATTTATAATTTGGTCATGAGACATTGCTAAAAGGAATGGATGCCTATACACAGTACATGACTTAGTAAGTTAAATCTAATTAAGTAATGAGAGTCATACTGTAATTGTAACCACAGAGTACAGCCATAAGACGTAAGAACAATCGGATCCATACAACTCACAGCAGTTATGATTCTTTCCATTAATGTCCTAAAACACACCACAGATTTTACTCTATCTTGATTAAATACTCATGAATGAAGCATGAAGTATGGAAAAGCTTTAGTGAAATAAGAAGTTCCTCCATATGATCCAGAATTTGGTAGAAGCAACTTTTAAAAACAGAAAAACAATTATGTCTGGATGATTTTCTGTCTTCTTTCATTAACATAACCGACTTATGAAATCATTTTCAGCTATTTATACTTCGATGCTTAAAGGAGCAAAGTCAGAAGTTCCACCGGTAACACAGGAAGGGAACAAAAACTGGATCAGAAATGAAGTCCTTTTAAATGTAGAGGTAATTCTTAATGAGGCTAATCAACACATAGTGGATTAGATCAACACATTAGGTTAGAAAATAATGTTCAAACCTTTAGAAATCTTACACAGCTCTGTTTAATCTATCATCTGAGAATAGAACGAGTGACGTGTTTTTGCACTGTAGATCTACCAGGACATTGCTGTCTCCGCTGAGAGGGACCGTTAATAGAAAAACTGGACGTCAAAACCATTTAAAAAAAGCACAATAGTCTTAAGGTAGATTTATCTTTCAGCAGTTTAGATTGAAGCATAAGTGGGTGTTAGAATGGCCTAGTCAAAGTCTAGATTGTAGATCAAGACTTTTTTTTGGGGGGGAACGACCCGTTTAGACGCTTTTCATCCAACCTGGCTAAGCTTCAGATGTTTAGCAGGAATTGAAGGTGGGAAAAAAGATGAAATGTTGACATTTACCAAAAGCTCTGCAGCTTTAACTTTAAGTTAATCTACAAAATAATGATAAAAGGGGATAAATATATGCCGCACCCCCGCTAGAAAAAATCTAAATCTAGATAAGTCAATTTTTTCTTAAAATAAGTGCATTTGTTCTTGAATTAAGGAGGTAAAAGAGACATTTTGCCAATGGAACAAGACAATTTACATTTAAAATAAGAAAACACAATTCCATTGTCTTATTTCAAGTGCATATTATCTAATTATCTTATTTTAAGACTAAAACTACTCATTCCATTGGCCAACTATCTCATTTACCTACTCAAATTAAGGGTGATTACACTTAATTTAAGACATTTTTACTTATTTCTAGATCTTTTTTTTTTTAGTTTACATGGCACTATTGGCTTGTTTTTCCAACAGGAAAGAGGGTATGAGAGAGGGCGAGAGACATGCTGCAGAGGACCATAGGCAGGATTCAAACCCGGGTCGTCAATGTGGAGGACTATGGCCTCCGTACATGCGCACAAACTACTGTTCCACCTGCACGCCCTTTTTAAATCTACTTTAGGATGCCCATCCATCTCCTTATGTGGTTATTTCCTGACAAAATAACAGTTGAAGGGGGTGCAAATACTTTTTCTAAGCACTGATTGTGTTCTTGTGTACAGTAGAGTGCATAAAAACTGTTTATATATTGTTTTCCTTTATCTCTGGTGTTTAGATTGCCAGACCGTCTTGGTTGAGCTGCTGGTTGCCATGGTGAGCCAGCGCATTACGGCAGAGGAGCTGGCACTATTGATCCGCCTCTTCCTGGAGAAAACCCCACCCACAGTAAATACTAAAAAAAAAAAAATACATCAGTCACTCAGCAGTGTACTGTTTGCTTACGCGCAGCTTGTGTTCACAGTCTGCAAGCTCACTTTATTACCAGAAACTGGATGTTACGTGTAAGACATGCTTCCTGTCACACTCTCTTCTCACTTCATGGTTCTTTGAAATTCATCAACACGCGCTGCTCCCTCAAGCCCTCTTCACATCAGAGTTAACAGCAGAGTGTGCGGCAGACACGTGACGGTGCAACTCATTAGCACGAGTCTGTTTAGTTGGAAGGCGGCAGAAGAGTGCCGTTCAAGGCCTCCATTTAAGTGAAACGTTTCCAAAGCAGAGTTTATTTTTATCTCTGAGACAGCACTCTCATTTCTTCTGTTTTTAGTATTAAGCTGAAATTATTGAAGGGTTATAAAGAAGTCAGTCTCACACATTATTAAAGATCAGGCCTATAATCTGATACACATCAGTCTGAAAATTGAATTCATTAAATAATAAAGCTCTGATCTAGTTACTAATGAAGTACCTTAAATAAGAAAAACAAACCAAACGACTACATTAACCCTAATCTATTAAATACTATTGAACAGTTTTATGGGTAGAGAATTAAATATTCAGAATATCATCAGATAATAAGAAAAACCTCATACCGTATTTTCACGACCATAAGGCGCACCGTACTAAAAGGCGCAGTCTCAGTTATGTGTGCCATTACTGTATTTAACACAGACATAAGGCGCACCGGATTATAGGGCGTGAGTTTTATATATACATGTCCTCTACTACGTTTAAATACCTCTACTGCGTATTTAAAAATAGAGCGGGAGCAAAACTGAGTATGATTGTGCTTTATTCATGTATTTATTACAAAGTATTAATCAAACCCATCAAAGTCATCATCCTCTGTTTCTGAATTAAACAGCTGTGCTAAATCAGACATGCCAATTTCCCCTTCTTCACTGTCAGAGTCACTTTCCATGCCGTGCAGCTCCTCGGAAATGATGCCGGCTTTTGCGAGAGCTCGTACAACAGTGCCAGCAGACACGTTAGCCCAAGCATC